TGCGAATCTTTCAGGAGAGAGGGGAAAAAAAATCTCGGGAATTGATCGCGCGTCGCACGCGAGATGTCGTCGCGCACATTCTAATCGGTATATATACGTGCCAGCAAGTGACACTAAGCAGAAGACGTGACGCGAATCGGCGATTTTTCTCGCTTTGCGCTCTTTCTCTGTTCCTCTTTTCCGAGCGATGAAAGAGCTTACACGTATTGTTATCGGGATTTGTCGGTGACGAGCTTTTCTTTTCTCGCACGACGCCGTTGCAGCTTGCCAAAGGGTATCTATCTCGCCGCGCTGCTCTTCTTCCTTTTTCCCCCTTTTTTTAATTTTATTCCTGATAAATAAGATCATACATTACGCCTTCTGCGCAACGCACTGAATACCGAATCGTTTTAAAGCAGCTTAATAATAACTTTTTTTTTTTGCACTTCGTACCTCGGTAGTTTTTTTTTGTTCGTTCAAATTTCCCGAGAACGTCCACGCCATAAAATATCTTTTAATATGAGTGGCTCTCTCTCTCTCTTGGAAAAAGAAACCAAAGAGAGAGAAAATGAATTAAAGCAGTCGAGTCGAGTTCAGTGCTCGCTTCCTTTATTCGGGATTAATCGTACACGCTATAAAAGCTCGCGAGTCGTATTATAATATCGGTCACAGGTCGTCGTCGAACGTGTTGCACGAGCAAATGCACTTGCCGCTCCGCTCGTCTTCCTCGCAGCTGAAGCTGTCGTAAAGCGAGCACCTAACTGCGCACTTGAGCATTTGCCACGACGAGCAACAAAGGGCATCTGTAATACAAGTGATATGTATTTTGAGAGAGAGAGAGAGAGAGAGAGAGAGAGAGAGAGAGAGAGAGAGAAAGAGCGAGAGAGATCGATGTAATCCACGTGGACGCGTTTTTTTTTTCGTTCTTTTTCGCGTGCCCTCTCGTACAAAGAAGAAGCAAAAAGAATATTTTATATTATCAAAGGAAAAAAAAATAGGTTTATACTTTGAAAGCTGCAGACGGCGACCAGCAGGAGAATCAGTAATAATTTAATCATTTTGCTACGTCGGAGCGTATAGTAGTAGTACTGCGCAGCACTGAATCTTTTATCAGTCGTGCAACCAGCAAATGTGCACGTTTGGCTTAGATATCGCGCGCGAAATAAGTATTTTTTCAGCCGCGACACAATTGACGCGATGATTACGATCAACTTTTTGAAATTCGCAGATGTTTTACTTGATTTTTTTTACGCGAGCACGGTTATTGCAGCTACCGATTCGAAAAGTTCCAAAGATTCGCACTGGTGTAAACAGTATCATCGCGATGATTCCTACCTATCGCTCGTGCCATTGCACACGCGCTTTATGATACTGCGAATTTGGACGCGTGCGCGCACTACACAGACGGGCGATCAGCTCCTCCTACCTCTGTATATTTACATGGATGCACCACCTACCTACCCACCTACTGCAGCAGCTATTATCATCGCTCACTCTAGCTTGCGCTTTCCCCGAGCTTATCAATAGACGTAATTAGTCAGCGAATTTCTCGTCTGTATATTGTGTTCTTGTGTGTGTGTGTGTGCGTGCGCGTAACTAGCCCACGTAATATATAATGCGTGGTTGTTGGAGCTTGCAAGCTCGCGATGTATCGCTATATTATTATGTCGATCGAGAATCTCAAAGGGGCTTAACGCGCCCGCGCCCAAGCCTGTGTGAAAGCCCGCGCGATGTTTAATCACGAACACGAGAGAGTCGTGTTTTGCACATACGAATGAGCTGTATTATATATTAAAGCCGCTGCGAGTACTTTACGTTTGAGGATGAGAATGGAGGGAGGGGAACAAAAAAAGGCGACGAAAAAGAAACAAGTAGGCGAATAAACAGCCACGAGCGGGTTGACCGAATAGTCAATTTGAACAGTAGTGCCACGCATACACGTCGTGCAATATAGTTAACGAACTACGGGTGCGAGAACACAACTTGTCTTTTTTTTTCTCTCATGCACCGGGAGTTTGCGTATCAATTACGAGTAATTAAAAAACATCATTTTTCTCTCTTGCGTGTATGCATTCGTGGCCTTTTTTTCTCCATTCGAGTGTGTTTGCTTCCCCCCCGGTACAGTTCTGCTGTATTTTTTTGTCAGTTTCGAGACTCTTGACCCTACGTCGAGTCGCGTGTCTCGACAGGCGGACTCGATAAATAAACGGCTGCAGTGCGCAACGATATAACAATTAGTATTCGCTAGAATGGACAGCTAATTAGTGGATATAAATCAATCGTGGGAGACAGAGGACAGCGCGCGCAGTACTGCACGCCGGGCCGGAGCTATATATACAGAGAGAGAGAGAAAAAAAAGTGAAAAGCTTCATTTGTCAATCGTGGCAATCGGTCCGGGGGAGCTTGCGCGAGAGCGCGGGCACGCGATATTGAAGCGATTTTTTTTGCGCTCTATAGCTCTCTGATCTCGTCGGGCCGGGGGCTGGCTTTATTACGCTATAGAAAAGAATGATGGCTCTTAGCCGATGTACAACGCAATTTTTTTTTATTTAGCAACTAAATAAAATTGATGTAACACAGGCAGCGACGCATAACAAGCGTGTGTGCGCGCGCGCGAACGCTATAGAGGATTTATGATCAAGAGACGTCGGGACGCTGGCGTTTCAAATTCGTGTATAATATCTCTGAACAATCAAGCGGTAGGCGCTTAATCCTATCTCAATCGAATTATACAGCTCCGTGCGCGTGGGCTGTCGCGCGCGCGCGCGGCGAAATTTACCCTGGGACTGCTGCACGGGCATATAAACGTTACCGTTGTGCTGCTGCGCGGCGGCTTAAAACGGGCTAAAATTTTGGCGCTTAAAGGCACACACACACGCGCGCGGGTATACATACATAAAGTGTGCTGCACCGTACACCAAGTGCCACCTTATATTCCGTGAGAAGCGGGTCTTTGTGAGCTTACACATGCATGCACACATACTCTGCAGCGTTCTGGTGCGCACACACACGCACGAAACTCGTTACTTGAATACAAATGTCGAGCGAACGTCAAGCTTTCGTATTTAGACTATGTGTACCGAGAGAGCGAGTCCTTTGGGAAGAATGGCTTGGAAGGGGAAGGGGGGGGGGGGAGGGAACTCGCGGAGATGTCATGCAAAAGAGACGTAGCAGCAGCAGCAGCAGCAGCAGCAGCAGCAGCAGCAGCAGCAGCAGCAGAGCGTTGGAAAATGTCCTGGAGCTTGCGAGCTTGCACGCGGCGGAGAGATGGAAACCCGAGACTCGATCTTTCTCCCGCGTGACTGAAACTATTTATTCTTTCAGATCGATTAGCTGCAGGCCGATTTAAAGCGGAAATTAAACCGAATTGTAAATTAAATCCGCAGTGCCTCGGGAAAACAAAAAAAGAAGAAGAAGAAGGTCTGTGTTTTCGCGTCGCTGCGTACAGTAGTCGCAGAATTAAAAAAAAAAGAAGGTGATGTCGGGTGCTCGCATATATAGCGAGCTTTCGCCTCCTCACGCTTACTTCAACGTCCGATCGCTGCTCTCTGCTTTCCGAAGCATAACGTCTTTTCTCCCCCCCTCTTTCACTCCGAGTGGAGTGGAGGAGGAAAAATTTTCCTTATCTCGCTTAACAAAGTTTTTCTCTGTATAAGAAGGAGGTTATCTGGGCTTGGTCATCACTTCGCATTAACGTAAGAAAATTATGGACTCGAGGCGCGCGCGCCCGTGGACGAATCTACTTAAGAGAAAAGACAGAAGAGATGAAGACGCTCGCACGGAATATTAATTTTCCACGAAAGTTGCCATAGTTATTGAATTTCTAATTTCATATAGTCGTCGCCGAAATTTGCATGTTTTAGCTCTCTCTCACTCTCGCGCGCGAGCTTGCTCGAGTACAAGCCATCTCTCCAATAAGATTTCAATTTCCATACTGATTTTAACGTCGTTACACATTAAAAGGCTACCTACCCTATGATTTGACTTTTTTGCTTTCATTATCGTTAAAATCCTCGTTTTACTTTATTTTGTTATTTCATTTCTGTTTTTCCTTTGTTATTTCAAAACTGACGCCGACTGGCTTGCATTTTGAACGCGCGTGACGTTCAAATTACTCTACGCCGCGTATGTATAACGAAGAGAGTGAGCAGCGAGAGAGAAAACTAGGGAATTTAAAAAGGGCTCGCGCGGAGCTCTCGTGCATATATGTATAAAAACGTGAAAAAGCACTCGCGGGGCCGCAGGACTTTGAAATCAAAAAACTGTCACGCGCCTCGCCGTGCATGGCAATAAACCTCGTCAAAGTGTGTTGAGCTCGTGCGTGTGTATGCGTGTGTCTTTGTGTGCGGTGCGCGCCTAGTGATGCCTAGCACTCGCGCGGCCTACTCTACGGAGCTTATGCGTGTATATTCTGTAGAGGCTCGCTTGCGCGAGAAAATAGAGAAAGATCACGAGCTTCGCACTCTAAGAGATATATATATATATTTCGTTGAGTTGCATTGCGTTGGGCGCGAACGCATAATCATACACGTACACACACGCGCGTGCACCATTTTTTTAATAGCCGCCTGGGTTTGAATAGAGTTCACTCCCCTCGAAATAGTAAAAAAGAAGATCTTCGTTCGGACAAAAATTTTCTCGATTAAAAGTCGAATGTTAAATGAAAACGAGCGCGTGTTTAATATGCATACATATAGTTTTATAATTGAAGTAACATAAGAGTCTAATATAGCCGACTAAATGTGCGTAATACAATTAAGCCCCGTCGTCGTCGCGAAGTTACTAGAGCAAGGATAATTAGCCGGAGAGAGAGAGAGAGTGAGCGAACGAGTCAAAAGAGCGGCGCTCTCGGCATCTGCTCTGTGCCACTGGCTCCGACGCCACCTCGACGTATTTCCCGTATCTTTTAAAAGTTCATCTTTCTCTCTCTCTCTCTCTCTTTTTTTATCTCCGTTTTGCGCGGTTGCGAATGAGCAAAAATAACACACTTTCTTTTGTGTGTAGACACTTTGTGAACTTACCTTATACCTCATGTCGTAGTCGGGCTGCTGCTCTTCCAGTAAAGAGTCGGCGCTGCTGTACCTGCGACAACAAAAATCAACGAAAGAATTGAGTAACAGAAATCAAAAAAAGCTCGTCGTCGCGTTGTTACAGTGTGTCGAAGAGATCAAAGTCGTCGTGTGTTGAGGGAGGTATGAGCTCGCGCTTTGCTCACACATATGCGCACGTTGTATATGGATATTATCCCGGCCGGGTCGTTGGCGCGCGCGTTTGACGAGCTAGAGAAACAGAGAGAGAGAGGGAGAGAGAGAGAGAGAGAGAGAGAGAGTCGCGCTTGATTGCGACGCGAGCAGCAGCAGCAGCGGTACATGTGGAGCCAGCAGGTGTATTGCCTCGTCGCTCCCGGCCTTTCAATAAAGTTTCGCCTCGGAAAGCCTGAGAGTACGTACATACGTGGGTGTTTATATGTGTATGTTAGTAACGACTGCTGCACGGCACACATAAAAGGAGCCATCCGCGCGGCCGCGTGCGATCTTTTGCATGTCTGCTGGTTCGATCGATTAGGGGGCGAGAAAAAAGAACGCGTACCTTTGATCAACGAATAAAATAACTTCGTCCTCATTGGTGGCAATACGATTATACGTGGCGTTATAACTTCTTTCCCTTGTTGTCATCGCAGTTTTAAGTTCTGGCCTGGCCCGAAGTTCGAGCACCGGCGGCTTAATACCTCGATATACGAGCGCACATAAACAGAGACTCACGAGAGTCCGAAATATAAATTTTCGCTTGGCTATTCTCGCTCCTTTATTTTTTGTTTGTTATTTCCTTTGCCTTTCATTGTGTGTGTATATACACCACATGGCTGTATAATGGAAAAATAAAAACAAAAGCGACAGCGGAGCTTTTCGTCCGTGGTGGGATTACTCAAGCAGTCCGGGACAAAGAGAACTGGCAAACATACACAAACACGCATGCACACACAACACCTAAACGAATCGATTTTAGCGCGGCACCGAATTTCACGCGCAAAGGAACATTTGCGACTTTTTCGCTAATTAAGCGCTCGAACGAATTATTATTATCCGAAAGTATCGGCTCCGCGCGCATTATACATTTGTAGCTCCCTATAGCTCTTGCAATAGCTCGCCGCCACGTAGCGGTCGAGAATTTCGGTACATTACAAATTTAAAATATGGTCGAGCGTCGCACCTTATCGCGTCTATACGCAAGGGAGAAAAGCAATTAACATGAGAATTTGAAATTCATACGTAATAAGCGCCCAATATATATGCGATCGAGGTTTATCGAGGCCGGCGTTTTCGGCCCTCGTACATAATTTCGATGCTTAACACGACGTGTCACTCAGAGCAAAGCATGAGATAGAGGCTATTATCAATTTTGATATTATTGCGGGGCATAAAAGCCAGCAAGAAAAGAGCCAAGTTGTCGAGATCAAAAGTAGAAAAACTGCAGTGTCTATCTATACGTATAACTAACGGGTTGATGTTGTCTCGCGGATTCGAAGGAAACGAGTGGAATCGTGCGATAACAAGGACCTTTTCTTCGGGCTTCGGTAATTCGATTTGACTCCTCCCGTTCCTTCCTTCGCGTCCTGACAAAACAAAAGGTACATCGTGGAAAAAAGAATAACGAGAGTCAGAGAGAGAGAGAGAGACAGAGAGAAATGTTGGCTGCTTCTGTTGTTGTTGTTGTTGTTCTTTTCTACTCCGCGGGGTATATATGGAATAAAGAAAGAGAATAAGGTCGCTTATCGATAAAAATTTTTCCTTCAATCAGTGCGCCGGCTTTGATGTGTGTTTCTTTGTATTATATACTCTATACTTTTTCCAGTAAATTTACAAACACTCGTAGATAATATTTTGCGGAAAAATTGCACCTAACAAAGTCTAAACTCTCTCGAATCGAGGAATTTTCAAATAAATACATCAAGCACTTGGGCAGAAAGCGAAAGAGCGAGGCGATGATCGGTGCAGATTATTTATTCGGCGATCGTATACCGCTCCGGCATGCAGTGGACAAAAAACAAAAATAAAGAAGAATCGAATTTTTGATCTCTTTCGCTTGATTGATCGATGGCACTTGGGAGAGAGAGAGAGTGTTATATGCGCGTTGCGGCGGAAACGACCGAGACGAGCTTTTTTTTATGTGTGTGCAAGCTCGGGCAGGTGCGTATTTTATATATTGTTTCGCGGCCAGCGCAGAATACACGTATACGCGAATGCGCGCGAAGCGTGAGATCTTTTTTTCCCTCGTTCTTTCTTCGTTCTCTCTTCGACCCGTGGCCGCTGGATGCGGATTTTTTTTTGTGCGCGCTCAGAGACGCATTTGGACTGCTCGATTGTGATACGCATCGGCTAATGAGAAATTTTTAGTCGATAATTCAATGATACACAAAGACGGCCCCGTGTTAATGTGCCTCTCCGAGCGTCCTACTTTTTTTGTTGTTGCGTGCTCGATGCCGCGCGCTGCTGGAGAGTTTTCAAGCGATCTTCTTTGCAACAATAAAAAAAACATTCAATATTATTATTCGTTTCGAGGCAAAAACTGCGCGTTGAACGCACGCAATTTTCTCGCTCGTTTTCTCCTCGCTACCACCACTCCTCTTTCTCGATCCGTTTTAAATTAAATATATATAGGTAAACGCACCAATGCGCTGGGAATATAAGATAAATAAAATGAGACTCGGACTTTCTTAGGACTGCTTGACACGGTTCGCAACGGTGTGCAGCAAAAAAAAAGGAACATGGTCAACTCGGATGATCATAATTTTTACAACTACGAAGCAGCCGTTGCTGCTGCTGCTGCTGCGACGAAAGTATAGTAGATGAGAAAAGTTGACTCGAACTTTTTTCGTTTTTTTTTGCCCTTTTCACCGAAATAGTTTTTCGAAATTGAAACCGATAATCAAATGGAATCAAGAGTTGTGTGTGTATGTTTTTTTTGCACGCGCCGCGCTCGTATCGGATGGCCGACGATGAAGAGATTATGAAAGTAATACAGGTGCTCACTGCGCGCTTGAGAGTGAAATTGAAGAAAAATCCAGCGGCGGCGGCGCGCGGATTGGAAAGTCGAGCAGCCGTAAAATTGCTGATTTGGTTTGGCACGATTCGAATCGCCTATATCTATATATCCTACGTTCGGTTAAACGTATAATACGCAGATATAGCATATATCTGATTTTCTTGCTTAGAGTCTTGGTTTATCTCTCTCTGAATATGCGTCGTTAGCGACATATATCGCATGCATTTATATATATACGGATCCGTCGCGCACAAGAGCGTGTGTAATTATATATATCGTTGACTCGCTTGGCTCAAGGAGTCTCTCCCTCTCTCTCTCTGTCTCTCAACCGAGTAATCCGACGGAGAATCTGTGCATTGTATTTTCGCGTAATCGAGTTCTTCTTTTTTCCATTTTTTTTATTTCTGCTGAAAACAGAGAGCGCAGCTAGCGCGAGAGATGATACTCGCAATGAAATCGCGTTCGATCAGGCGCGAATAATAAAAGCGCGTTTCGAGTCTCAATCCTACTTTGCTCGGGTTTGCTTTACATTATTATGCAATTCCCGTTTGATTTTATCGCGAGCTGGTTGTACTTGCGCGCGTTTATGTCGATAAATCGATGGTTATGGTACTCATTTTCTTGCGTACGGATATTTCTCACGCAGCACAATGTCAATCTGCTTTTCGTTTTGTTTTGTCTCTCTCTTTTTTTCCTTCTACTTCTTTTTGTTATTTTTCGTAATTTATGAAAATCTATTCCTGCGCGTCGTATCGCTTATCTGCTACACGGCTCTCGTCGTCGCGCCGAACAAGTGACGCAATGTAATACAAGCACAATAGTTTTGACCAATTAAACGTGAGTCGCATTAATTAATTGTTTAATTGACATCTGAGTCTGTGCGAGTGCACAGTGGATGGATCTGTTACGCATCGCTGGACTCCGTATATAATGTTTTTCTACGACGCGAGAAAGAAAATTGCTTCGGCAGCAGGCAAGTGATATTATTATATATGCTAAGGAAGCTCTCCGCATATACGAGAAGCGATAATAGCTGCTTTTGCGGCCGAGGCATCGATTCAACTCACATCGCGCATATCGTGACACACATAATAAGAATCGAGTTTTGTCTATTCTCGTCTCTCTATCGTATCTCCATCTCCCTCATTCGCGCAAACATCGCGCGAATCAATGCTCGATGAGCCCGCGGGATGTATATAACAGCCGGAGCACGCGGTATTGACTTCGTTACCCGGCAGTACACGATCAGCCCGGGCGGCGCTCATTACGCGTTCAACCTTTCATTTCGTTCAAATTTCCCGAAATATATTCCAAAATTAACGTTTATAATTTTGGCTTATGCACGATCCAATCCATATACCCATCGAATGCATAGATAATATGCGGTGCATTCACAAGTTATATACACTTTGACAAAACGATGATACCCGGAATTACACGCGCGCCGCGGATCGAGAAACAAAGAGCTCGGCAACATTTCGATTTGTAAGCGCGTGCGTCTATGGTATTAACGGGAAGCTCGGGCAATCGCTACCTCGACGCCAATACTTTATGATGACCCGTTGCCAAGAGACAGAACAGAGAGAGAGAGAGAGAGCCGCCACACAATGAATTACCTTCGCTACAAAGACACGTGTGCAATTTTTTTCTCCTTTTTATTTTGATAATAACCGAGCATTTGTGTGTGCGGCCGGCGCATTAAAATTGATTGCACGTTCCCTATCCGCGAGCTAGCTGCTGGTGCGCGCGGCTATATATATGTATACCGCATATAACGCGATTGCGAATGCGATCGCGCGCGACTGTAGCTTATAACTAGCTCGGCTGGTGTGCGCGCCTCTTCCGATCCTCCTCCTTTTCACCTTGGGGGTGGGTGATAGAAAAAAAAGTCGCAGACTCGCGCTCATTTGAGAGGAATAATAAAAAAAATGACACACGAGCGAATAATAGCGTCAAATCAATTGGACGAGACTCGGCTGCTGTTTTTTTTTCGTGCACGTTTTGGACTCTCGGGCACGAGGGGAGTGCATTGAACCGGCCGAGCGCGCGCCGAATGAATATTGAAATTTCATTCAAACGTCGCCCGCGCGCCTCGTACATTTTTCAATGCGTCAATTTACTAGGTATTAACATATCATAAAAAGAGGTACGCGCCGTCCTATAGATGTGTGTGTGTGTGTGCAAATGCGGGACAAAGAATCTCGTTTGCAAATAGAACGTGTGCGACGATTCTCTCTCTCTCTCACTCATCTGCCGCAGCTGCAGCAAATCGCGCGTACCAACGCACCAATACGCGAGGCTACATGGAATTCATTATATATTTTCTCGCAACATACTTATTGTTTTTCTGATAACCGATTTGAGGGCACTGTCGCAAGCGCGCACGCGTGTCTCGTACGTATAATAATATATAAACACACACGCATACACGTCAAAGTGGGGAAACAAGCTCTGAAAATCATCTCCGAAGAGAGCGAGAGATATGTATGCCTATAGAGGCTTTAGTACCGCGTTAATTAGCATTACGGCAACAGTTCTTCGGAAAAGGATATACGTGTCTGTACAGCTACAGCTACAGCTACAGCTACAGCACACCGTGAGTCTCTATATGTGCCGTGCTAAAAATGTTCTCTCTTACTCTCTCGCGAGTCGCGCGTTTTCACTTTCGCGCATATATACACAGAGACTTACTTATCTATACAGGCAGGCGCGTGCTGCGCTGCTCCTGATCACATTGTCACTCGGTGCGCGGCTTCCTTCAACTCGTCGGGCGTCTAATTAGCGCCTCATTACGCATTCGTAGCGCGAGGCGTGTCGCTAATCATATATATATATATATATATTCTCCTCGACATTTCCCTCGACCCTCCCCCCCAGCCGGTCTATATTATGCACGCGCGCGCGGCCCGACTCGAGCTCGCTTTACGCTCGTCGTGTGTATGTTGTGTCGCGCGCGCGCGGGCGTAATGTATACAAATTTTGTTCGGTACTCACCTTGTCTGTCGAGCACGATGCAGTTGTTCTCCTTTGTGAATATGGATATATAGGCCACGTGCGCTGCTGCTTTATTGGAATTTTATCGTAGATGATATATATATATATTATTATATCGTGTATGTGTACACAAGCTCGTGTGCGAGGCGCGAAAATTTGAAATCCGTGCGACACTGCCTGAACGAGAGAGCTATGTGGAATATGTGCTGCGTTAGCAGCGTCGCGCGAGTCTTGTGCCTATCTCTCTCGTTGCAGATTATTATACGGGCACAAATTTATCACACTATATAATATGCCCAGGCGAGAGAAGGAGTGAGAGATAGAAGTAGTAGTAGTAGTAGGTGATTACTCGACGAGCGTAACGCACTGAATGAGCGTGAAAGTGAATTGTATGCTTTTTTTCAAAGCCACACTCCGTAGTATATGGGCTCCGTATACTATATATACTACCGTATATATATCCGAAGCAGACTGCAAAAGGATGGGAAGATTTTTTTCTCAAGAAATTTCAGCGATCGCTAATTGGCGTTGCTTAATCTGGTATTGTAGTATGGATGAGCTGTCAATTCGGTTTTTTTTGTAGACTTAAAAAATTGGAAAAAAATCGCCGAGAAATTCAAATGAGCAGCTCTCTTCGTCTCTCTCGGCGGCTCGTGTTTTAATATTTGCAGTTCTGCGTTTGTCAATCACTCGGCACAATCACTTTCACGCGCGATGGAGACACGTAGATAACAAAGGAAAAGGAAGAGAGAAAAAAAAATTATTATTCTCAGAGTCCAAAAAGGAGACTAACGGTAAAGGAAGGAAGGAAAAAAATTCTTGATACGTTGTTGTGTTGGGCAAACGACTACTCGTCGTCGTCTACGTCGCGGTCGTCGCGCGCACGATCTTTAACGGCGACTAAAGCTTGCTTATAGGAGCGGGACTCTCTTTAATCGCCATTCAACGCGGACGCCTCTCTCGAGGCAGAAAAGAGCGAACCCCCCACCCACGCTTTATACAAATACGTATCAAACTATCTTCTATATCACAACTAACTCTGCTGCTGCTGCTGCGCTGCTGCTCTCGGCTCAGCTCGGCTGCACTACTATACACGTTCGCTTGTCTCACTCTCTCTCTCTCTCTCTCTCGCTTTATAATAATCGCCAAGCGCGATCATCTTTGTAAGTGCACACGCGCTGCATTACATTTCAGCAGCTCGCTCGTTTCGCTCGTTTCCACGCGTCGCGATCGCTGCCGCTGCTGTGCACTCCTTGTTGATTTTATTTAACCCCGCGCCGCGCGTTGTATATTGCAGTACTTCGCGATGCTGCCTGCGTCTCCTTTGCGGAAGTTTTGCGACGACGCGGCGCGCGTTGACGGACCCTGAGACTCACGACTATAACGTGAGATGTTTAACGTAGAGAAAAATTTTTCCATTGCGCGGATTTCTTCTTTTGTGTGTATGTGTGTGTGCGTATAGCACGAGAAAGAATATTATATACATTCGAGATATTTGTCGGAATGATTTGCGAAAAAAGATCTTACAGAAAGTGCTATGAAAGTTATTGAAAAAAAGTATAGTGTAAAAATGGGCACACAACGACCGTAACACAAAGAGAGCTTCGAGAGCGAGCGACGCGTCGAAGCAACAAAAAAAAAAGGAGAAATAAAAAAGAGCGGAAGATACGAAATGGATAACGATTTAGCAAATTGTTGACGCGAAGACTCATCCCGATTATTGTTGTTGTTTAATACATTATAAAAAAAAATCCTTACGGTACATAAGGCACGACGCGCGTCGAATGCCAATTGATCGTCCAAATCCATTAGCTATCCGCGCGCGGCCGTTCGTCCGTTGCTCGTCGCATTAATAATTCGTGTTTTAAATTTACATTAATAATCGCTTCATTATACTATTTAAAATACAATCCTATACCTTATGACTCCCCCCACCTCTTCTACTTCTTCTTCTTCTAGCCGTAAGGAAAAGAATAATGCCTCAATAGCTCTACCGAGAGATAGATAGATAGTAAGAGGGAGTGAAAGAAAGAGTGCGAGAGAGAGAGAGAGAGAAAAAAACTTTTTTATTCCCGGAAGAGTCCTTGATTGCGCTCGCGCGCCGCTATATATATAGACGTGTGGTGCGCGAGCGCGCAAAATCACGAATTCACTGCACGCATATCGTGTGCCGAAGAAGGAACTGCTATTCGTGCAAAAAAAAAAAAAAAAAATTGCACACTTTGTTTTGCGCGCCACTACTGCAGGCGTACACACATACACAAAAGAATAATATTTATCGGTTTTTTCGCGCGGGGCGAGATTTCGAGCCTCTCATCGCCTCTGCTGCTACACCGCGAAATCAGAACAAGTGTGTCGTGGTATACACTTTGGTTTATTTTTCTTTTCGCGATACCGGTCGTCGCCCGAGCGCACCATCATTCATCTTCGTGCGCACACGCGAGTTGTATTGTAGCAGTAGCATATACAGGGTAGTAGCGTACCCGAAGATGCGAAAAGGATGTTTTCTTTCGTGACTGTCGGATTTTTCGATACCCATACATAAAAGCGCATCGATCCTGTCGACCGAAAAACGTTTCTCTCTTGGGAAAAATTAACAATGACTCGATGCTGCCGCTGCCCTTACACGGCTCATTAAAAACCATAGCGTCATAAAATAAACCCCGCGGATTTCGATCGTATCATCGCCTGTCTCATATGCGTATCTCTCTTTCTCTATGCACAATCGACCGCGACCTCCAAAGTGCACGGAAAAGTTCATTGCGCCGCAGAGTGGTATGTGTCGCAGTAGTCGCGCGTCGTGCACGGAGAGGTCGAGCCAGTGCGCATACGAAATCGTCGCCGTCGTCTACGTACGCATAGTCGAGCCGCACGAGAGAAAAATTTTTGAACTCGTTTTGCATATATATTTCACTCGTGTGTATGATCGTGCGTAGTGGCAGCAGCAGCGACAGAAGCAACAGAAACAGCAGCAACAGCAACTGCGATTAGAATATGCAAAATGAGTATCCGCTTTGTTTGTTTCTTATATTTCTTTTATTTTTTTTTTTACGGTTTTTCCCCATTTTTATCACGCGCATATGATAATTAAGTGTCGAGACAATTTTCTTACTGCTTGGCGCTTTATAATTGCGCCAAGAGAAAAAAATGCGTCACCGGCGATTAAACGATTATGCGCGCCCGACAACGAATCAACATCCGAAGCGTGAAATAGCGATAAATATACTTTAAAAGAAAAAATTCATCATCGCTAATCGTCATCCGAATTTCCCTCGCGGTTTTCTTCGGTTTTTTTATTTTTTTCTCTCTCTTGAAAACTATCGCCTCTACGATATAATCTCTCAGCGCGACTGCGCACCTATTGTGCAGCCAAGAGAGAGAGAGAGAGAGAGAGAGAGAGAGAGAGATGACAATGAGCGACAGAGGAGAGCAAGTGCCGCGACGTTGAAAGCAACTTTATCGAGCGTCACGCGATGACCATTGTTGGAGCCGCACCGCGGAGTTTTTCTCTCTCTGATCGTTCTATACGTCTGTCTCGCTATATATCCTCCACTGACCTCCATTAGATGAACGCTGTAATAAACTGCGAAGGTACCGGCCCGCATGTGCAGTGTGTGCAATAGGCCGCGGCGGTGGTGCTGCGGCCAAAACCGTTTCGAGCCCGTTACACGCGGATCTCTCTTTCTCTCGTGTTTCACGAGCGCAACATCACATTTTCGCGTTTAATATATATAGTACGCATCGAGCAAACGTGTAAGAAGCATGAATCACACGAGGCAGTACGTACAGAGCTGCGGGAGCATTAGTGCGACGAAAAAAAAAACGGCGCATAAAGGCCATCGACACCAACACCGCCGCTTCGACGCGTTATATCGTGAACGACGCTGGACTACTAAAATCCAAAAGTACCTCCTCGATGCGATGCATTGACGAGACTAAATCATCATCCGGAGGTATATGTACTGCGAGAACATTTCGCAGGGTGAAAAACACGAACACGTCGTCCGTCACGTCGTCGTTGTTGATGTTTTTTATCTTCTCTTCACGGAAAACATATCCAAGCTTTCATTGGTTATTACACTGGCAGCAGTTTTTCCAAAGTCCTTAGTTTTTTCTTTTTTTTTTACAAATTCATTTTTATTTTTAAAGCGATATAGCTTTGTTTGGCTGTAAAATAATGAGGTACAAAAAGGGATGAAAATAAAAGTAAAGGGAGGATCGTTATAATACCCTATGTATAAAGCGCAAACAAAGTCGAAATTACCGCTTTTAGTTCCGCACATAATATAACGATGTGAATCGATACTTTTGCGCAAACACAGCAGCGGAAAATCAGCAATCTAAGTACAGTTTCGCGTTTTACACACATAACTCAATTTTAAGCAAGATTTAGCTCTGTGCTGCGCGAGCGAGCGCCTTTTCTTATACTCGTCGGCGGCGGCGCGGTGTATAATATACAAGCGCCGTTTCCGCTGCCTCGTAACTTTTGCTGATTTATTTTGCTCCATAAACGCACTGCAGCTTTTTACACATTCACATACACACGCACATACATACTGGCAATGATCACTTTCGCTTATCGTTATTATGATGATTATTCTTCGTAACCGAGAGTGTTTTGAACTGTGGCGGTGCTTGCGAGCGAAATCTTCCGAAATTAATTTCAATAAAGTTCACGATTTGCAGCATGAAAATACCTACAATTCTTTTATTTGAATATCTGAGAATCTGAAAATCTGCAGGATATATAAACCATTTTTAAACTGCATTTTGAAAATCCCCATAAGTATTTCCAGAATATTACATTGTGAGTCTTATTTTGCTTCCTCATAGAGGAAGCTTTGTGATGGGCTCCATTTCGGCTTTTTTATAGAGTAATCGTAGGGTATATTTAATGATATTTCTATATACTAGATCGAATTTCTGACACATGTTGGTATGTATGTGTGTGTGTGTGTGCGGCTGTATGTCTGTGTAGAGTGATTCCTCGATAACGGTAGCACGTATCGTGACGGGGTTTGGCTTATTTTGTTCGTTATTATGTAAGGATGAAGCCAGAAAATTGTATTTAGCGATAAAGGAAGAAAAAAAAATTTTTTTTCGATTTTTAAAAATTTTTGGAAATTTTTTTATGTCTGTGTAGAGTGATTCCTCGATAACGGTAGCACGTATCGTGACGGGGTTTGGCTTATTTTGTTCGTTATTATGTAAGGATGAAGCCAGAAAATTGTATTTAGCGATAAAGGAAGAAAAAAAAATTTTTTTTCGATTTTTAAAAATTTTTGGAAATTTTTTTATGTCTGTGTAGAGTGATTCCTCGATAACGGTAGCACGTATCGTGACGGGGGAGGGCTTTTTTTGTTCGTTATGATGTAAGGATGAAGCCAGAAAATTGTATTTAGCGATAAACGAAGAAAAAAAATTTTTTTTTCGATTTTTAAAAATTTTTTTTTACGGGAAAAATTTTTTTTGCGGGAAATTGTCGTTTTCTTCCTTTTGCTCCCTCATATAGGAAGTTTTGTGATGGGATACATTTAGGCTTTCGTATATAATTATCGTAGGATATATTTAATGATATTTCTATATACTAGATCGAATTTTTGACACATTTTGGAATGTATGTGGGTGTATGCGGCTGTATGGCTGTGTAGAGTGATTCCTTGATAACGGTAGCACGTATCGTGACGGGGGAGGGCTTATTTTTTTCGTTATGACATAGGGACGAAGCCAGAAAAATTCATTTATCGATAAACGTAACGTTTTTTTTTCTATTTAAGAAAAAAAATTTTTTTTTTTTGCATTGTTTGTTTGAGATACCCGATAAAGCTGAGAGGCGCTTTCGTTTCGCTTTCGTAATTAGAAAGATGATATTAATATTTTCAAATTATTTTTAAGTT